ACTCTCCACTGATTTCAGTTACGTGCTGAGTCTGGCCATTTTGAGCAAGGCAAGGATCCAACCCTTCAACAGGAGGTGGTTTTCCTAGAGAGCATCTGCTACCAAGGTGACATGTTTCCAGGCAGGTTGGTTGTTCCAGCTCCCGTATCTGCACACTAAAAGCCTCCCACAAATACCTAAACATTTCAAGATTTGGATCCCCAGATGCTAACACAGCCAGTATTTGCTGATAGCATTTTGAGTTTTATTCCAGTCTGCATCTGCCACCAGCTCCTGTACCATCCATTCACAAAGAGCAAGTTAATTAACATAATATCACTCAGAGCTAGCTCGTTCCTGGCTATCAGTAGCATCTAATCAGTGTCCTCAACTGAAAAGTAATCTCTGGCTTGATCTTTCCTTGGCCACCAAGCAGTGCCTGAACAGAGGGGGCTTTGTTTTGAGTCACTAGAGACAAAAAGGTCAGCTCCCAACCTTTTCCTAGCATTGCCCTTGCCTTGGAAAGAAAGGTAGAGCATGTTTTCATGTCAGACCTTGCTCTTTTCTTCCTGGCTTTGACAAGAAGATATAATTTGTCCTAGGGAGTCACACTCCCCAGGCCAAGGGTGGGTTCAGGCATGGAGCCCAATATGGCAAAACAGCACCATGAAAGTACATCCTGGGGAGACAGCCCTCAACACAGCAAATCCACCACCTACCCAGGGACATACAGCAACCCACCTGGCATGACAAGAAGTCACGTGCCACACGGTGACTCCATCACCTGCAGAAGATAAGGCCCAGCCAGTTTTGCTTTGGCAGGATCCATCCACACCCTGAAATAAGGCACCACAGAGTATGAAATCCAGATGACAGGAGGACCCACATCTGCTACTGCATTACACAATTGCAAGCTGGGCTTGTGTTTGAGTTGTGTCAAGCACACAGACCAAGTTGGAGGAGGAGGACAGGTTTAAGACCATGAATTCTGCTGATTTTACTACACAAAGATCTGTCCCCTTTCACAATACTGAATATTCCCCAAAATTATGCAGTATATAAAATGGCTTTATACATACACACACACCCCTTGAGATACTGTTATTATAGCATGTCATTACATTTTTACAAGATTTTTTTAAAAGTAGGCAACAAGTCTGCATGCCATGGGTTTTATGGAGGTTTTATTTTGGGGGAAGTAATTTGGTAAGTGTAAATTGATAGTTAGGTTGATGGAAAGTCAGACTGATGTAGGTGAACATTTTTCAAATAGAAGATAGCTGTGGGTGGGAAAGACGAATCTTTTACCTTTAAAAGGTATTTTAAAACCCCAAAACTTTAAGCATGATATTTTAAGAAGCAACCAAGCAAGGGGAATAGTTAAGGCAATTTTAACAATCATTAATGAAAATATAATTTTTTTTTTTTTTTTATTGCAAGCCTAGGTGGTGTTAGCCCAGCCATTCCCTACAGCTGGATCATAAAAATCAGGCCCATGCTGGCTTCATGGGTTACAGCAGCTCCTCCACATAACATATATCCACTTCCCCCAGATCTGCCCCCTTTCCACCAGCAGAACACACCTCTACCTCCAGCCCCTAGTGATTACCACCCTCTCCTCAACCCAGACCTCCTCCAGCACTTTTGCAAGCCCACCAATCCTAGTGACAAGGAAAACTCAAACCATAATATCCCCAGCCTGTCCATGCCCTTTTCCCTACTGCTGTGGAGCCCTTCTGTGCCAAAATCCTAAACTAAAATACAGGAGCTTGCCTTTCCAGTTCATCCAACCAGAAACTGGGTTTGGAGACAACCAGCTAAAAATTATGCTCGGCCAATGCTAAAAAACATTGGCATTTATGACAGGTATCACCATTGTGCTTTGCAAGAGTAAAGTACACACAAATACCTCAGTCCCTACAAAGAAATTCCCCAACACATAATTCTCTCTTAGAAAGAGCAAGGGCTTTAGAAACACAGCAAAATTTGCACACGAGCACCTACCCTGCTGTCCTTCACAAGATCATCTCAAATCAAGCCAGACAGCTTCCTAGGGCACATCTTCCCACCTCCTCCCAAACCCAGGCAACCTGTGAATCCTGCTTTTATAGGGTGTTACCCTCCCTCCTGCAACACCTTCACCTGGTGACTCACTAATTACATCCCAAATGAGGAAGCAGGCACAGGTGAGATACTTCCACTGGAAGAGAAGACCTTGCAGCTCAATACAGCTTATTTAATTCTCCATGGAATGTTTGGGGCATCAGAAGTCAGGTGGGGGCTCAGGGATGTTCTGTAATCAAGATGTTATTGTCAAGAGAAAATAGAGCTGCTGCAGTGATTAAAGCTAAGTCTTCCCTTTGGGGAGCAAGGTGAAACACTGAGCTGCAGGATGACCAAGGACACAGCAGTTTGGGTCAGGTAGGCTGCCCAGCACCCTGTCCCAGGACATGACTGGGTGACTGAAACTAACTGGATACTGCTGGGCTGGGACTGCTGGTGGGTTTTGCAGCAGTTCTGTCCACAGGGTCAGGTGCCATGTTCTGTTGTCCTGAAATAGAGCAAAACCCCAAACCAACCCAAGAAACTCAGGCTGTTGCTAGGAAACTACAACTTGCAAAATAAAAATCACAAGTTTTCTTCACAGAGTCATATCATTTTAGAGTATTATTTTCTGCAGACTGGACTTGGAAAACATTTTATAGCAGAGGAACAACAGAGAAGTGACTGATGAAGGGCAGGAAGGAGAACACACCTTGTTTTGAACATCTCAAACAATTAGTTGTGGAACCCCATCCCTGGTTTGGTGGCATCAGCACATATTTGTGGAAACTCTCCGTGTTAGGGAGCTGCAATGAGAACAACTCCCACTGAGAAATACCCACCTGTACTTTTTAGGCAGTCCTAACATGGATCTGCTCATGGCCTTGACATGGAGGGTCGGGATTCATGTTGAAGTGACAGTCCAGACAAAAGCACTTACAGGATAACCTGGCCTGCAGAAATGCTTTTCCACTCCTGCAGTCTCCTTGCCATGGGGAATAACAAGTGCCTCCCAGCCACACTCTGCTCAGTGAGCTGAGACAGCAACGAGGGATGTGAAGGTACCAATGAGGTCTGCAGGGCTTTTTAAGCCAAGAGCTCATGCATTTGGGAAAATATTTTGCTAGTAACCTGGCTGTCCTGTCTTCTCAAACTCTCCTTCTGCTAAAATCACAGAAACACTGTGGGCAGGTGTAAACATAGAGTTTTCTAGTACAAACACAGAGCAGCCCATGCAGAGAGCTGGCCCCGGAGAGAGACTCAGAGTTGGCTTTCAGACCCTTCCCGCTCCAAGTCAAGGGGACACTCCACACAAGAAGAGACCAGGCATGTGGTTTTTTTTTTTCCTCAGAGATTTTTTTGTCTGTTTAATTTCATCCTGGTACGCGATTCCTGACAGTGTGTCAGCAGCTCCCGCCGGGTCAGCCGTCCCTGGACCCCGCTACATTCAGTGTCAGGTCCTACAGTGGCAATGAGCCAGTGTTTTGAGCCTCACAGTCACTTGCATGTCTTTACAGGTTGTTGCTTACATCATTTGTGAACAGCAGCACAAAAGGACACAACGCATGAAAACAAGAGTGGGGATGAGGTGAGGGTCAGCTGAAGGCTTGACCCTACGGAGAACTTTCCCCGGGTTCCCATGGCTCCAGCAGGGACGAACCCAAGCATGTGGTGGGAAATACAAGGCTCTCTCTCCTTTCTCCTTCACCTGAGGAGTAGGAACACAGGCTGTGGTGTTTAGAACCAGGACAGCAGCACACCGGTGTAGCACCCATATTTGAGGGTACAGGACAGGGCCGCTGCTGGAGGCAAGCTAGGTCCTGCCATGGGAAGGAGAGAGGTGATGCAGAGAAGTATGGCTGAGCCCTGATGGGCTGGGGTGTCCACCAGCTCCAGCAGCACTGTCCACCCCTCACTGACCCTCTGGACACGTCTGGCAGGGGGGACAGGACCTGGTAACCGTGCTGTACCCATCAATCTGCTGGTGGAGGAGCAAGTCCCTGGAGCCAGCCCTGCTTTAGGTTTCCACTGTACCTCAAAACCAGTGGGGCAACCTGAGAGCACCAAAAATAACTGACCCCGAAACCCAAACCTATTAACTGATGTTCCTTCCCTGCCACTGGGTTTTTGCAACCTAAACATAATGTTTATAAAAAGTAAATTATTTCATCTTATAACTTAAGTGCATTGAATATTTCCTTAAATATGGTTCACGTTGAAAATAAAGTTACTTTTGCTGTACAGTAAATTTCTGAATAGACTTAGAAATAAACTTTGTTGATACAATCTGGCAGGTGTGGCCGTGCAGTCCATGACCCACAGCCACACGGCTCTGCACACACACACACGCCTGCCCACACACACACGGACACACGCACAGCCCCGTCCTCGAGGGCCGGGGCGACGCTGGGGGGTTCTAGCTTTCTATAGTCGTACGGGAACACCTATCTTAAAAGTTCCTGTGTTTAAACAGCAAGCGCTCAAGCTGGTCGAGGGAACAGAAGGAAAACCCTACAACGAAATTTTCCCTGTGTTTCCCCGAAGCGTTGTCAGCGTTTCAAATTTCATAGCCTGGCTGATGCTGCAGGCTTCCCCCGTGAAGATCAGTTTGCTCTTTCTGCCGCTCTGACCAAAGGTGGTGCGGAGGGGATGTGGCACTGGGATGCTCCCATGGGAAGGGTTTTCCCCTCCCCCTGCCTTTCCCCCTGCCAAAATGAGAAATTCGGTTCCCCATTTGAAATTTGAAAATCCACCAGGCAGCTGCAAAAACCACTCCTGTCCCTAATCCTAGGCTCCTAAGAGAAACATGAAACTATGCAACCCATAACTTAACTCGCTCCTTGGGAATCCCAAGCTACAACATATTGTTTGACAACATCTCAGCAGTGTCGCTTCCCCCACCCTCCCAACCCCGGGGGCTCGGCAGCCCCTCCTGGGGCAGCGCGGCAGTGGCAG